AGGCTGGTAGATTTGTTTTACACAAAGTTTAAGAAATAATGTGTCTCTCACTGATTGGTCAGATCACTTCCATCGAGCCATTTCCATTTCCCTCCTACAGCTCTGAGACCAATCCAGAATCCTTTAATGTTTCCTGTAACAGGACTTTGTGTTTGGACATAAATCTGAGGAATTAGAGAAAATTCTGTTTATGCTGACTGAAAACTGACTAAACACTCAAAATTATTGAGGCTACAATTTTCCCAGTTGATGTACATTTTAATCCATTAAAATTGTTCTTCCATTACCTTTTCTGCGTTGTCAGACACAACAGTCAGATCTGAATTCTTCTTTTTGCAGTCTTCTCGTGCACCGTCCCAGTTTGTTCGATCATCAGCTGCAGCATCGTTATACGCATAACAGCTGGAAAGTTGGTAATTCCATCCTCTCTGACAAGAAGTGCAGCTTCTCACTTCAATCAAAATGTTCCATTAATAAATATGTTTACATAATATCATTATTATTTATTTTTTTAACATAATGTAGTTCATCACAAACTGTTTGTCTAAAATATGAACATACCACCACTTTTGTTTGGACAGTATTGATCAATGCTCCACTGAGCTCGACTGACATTGAGCTCATTCCAGGTTTCCTCCATGTTTTTTATCAGTTCTGTGAGGTTTTTTCTTTCTTCCATCAGTTTCTCATTAAGCGACGTCAGGTTGCGGTTTTCTGTTGTCAGAGTGGTGATCCTTTTTTCTAAAGCTGTAGAAGCTGCCGTCAGGTTGAAGTTTTCTACAGTTAGAATGGTGATGTTGTTTTTTAAGGCCATAGAAGCCGTAGTCAGGTTGTAGTTTTCTACAGTCAGCATGGTGATCTTGTTTTCTAAGGTGATAGAAGCCGTGGTCAGGTTGTCAAACTGAATCATTAGATTTTTATAATCTGAACTGAGTTTGTTGTTGAGGTTGGTCAGGTTCTGGTTCTCCTCCAGTAGAACCTGCTGGGATGATTTCAGCTGGTTCAGCTCGCTTGCAGTGCTCACACGAACTGTTGCAACAGAAATTAGAAATTACATTATCAACAAACGCAAAAAACCCATCAATGTAAGTTTTTCATTTTAATTTGTTGTTTGTGTTTTAGAACTGGATTATATGTTCTGCTTAACTTTAGGATAAACAAATGTTTGCTCTTAAGATATTATTAGAAAACTGTATTTAAGGTTGTGTATTGGTCACATCTTACTCACAATAAACACAGACTCCAATGATGCAGAGCACCGAAATGACACAGAGAATCCCAAAGCAGCAACACAGCTGCTGATAGCGACAAAGTCTTCCTGCTTCCTTGACTGGTAGAAATAAATAAATAAAATAAAGGAACTTTAAAACTAGGAACAAATCTTTTCTTCCCTTGTTTGTCTGTAGTAAATATAAATACAACCTTTTTGCTTCTAAATCAAGAAGAAAAATACTGTCTTTTATATCAATATTAATTAGAGTCATCCTGGGTAGGTTTTATTCTAACTGTGAGTTTTCAGCCTTTTCAATGCTGGATGAAGTTCATGCACTGATCTCAACCATTTTGTGAAACACTGCCCCCTATCACTGCGGCACGGTACTTTCTGGTTCACCCTGTGCATTTTTACTCTGGATTTCTGACCAATCAGAATCATTAAATACATTTGACTATGGAATATCGGCATATTTAATCAAATAAACTAAACACCTCCATCAGTGTGTTAGTCCATGTACTTCAACAGGCATTGAATAAATTATGTAAATTTGACTATATTTATAGAACAGTATAGTGGAAATTTTGATTTTCTCTCATTTGTATTTTCCTTTTCATATTGACATATCACTACCTAATCTTTAGCTCCCCCACAGATTAAAATAAGGACTTTCGCTACTACAAAGCCTTACTATTACATCTTGTTAGCTTAAACATGAACATGTTGGAAATGCAAATAATTTTAGGCAGCAGCAGTAATATTTGCAGACGTAATGATACTTGATTGTATGACTGGACACTTATGTAGAATTTCTGATGAATACAACACAGAACATAAATGACAGACTTGAAATAGGCTCAATCAATTTGTATCATTCTAAAAAATAATAGTAAAACTGGAATCTTGTACGTGTTCTTAAGATAACCACATATCTAACTGTATGTTTTAGTAAGAATGCACCAAGGCTTGTAGCAAATCAACAGCTGCTACAAATTTTCCATATGAATTGGGGGAAAAACACACACAGCTGAGTTGCCTTCCAACTCCATTTTCTCTGATTTAAAGATAGTTAAAACAAATTGCAAACATGTTTCTAATTTTATCATGATAAATTGTTTTCCTTGATTTTATAAACTTACCAGTTATGTCATGAGTTTTCTGAACACTCTCATTTTGCTTCTCCACTTCAAATTTCTCCATTGTTTTAACTGAAATGAAATTTTAAGTTGTTTTATAACATAATAACATAATTACTGCATTAGTCAAGGCAGCACCAGTTTTATAGCAAATAATGTGACTTTTGCTTCTGTCTGTGATATAACTTTTCCAATGAACTGGGGCAAATAAAACAAGTGAAGAAAACCTCAACAACCCCATTTCCTATACAGATAAATATGTATCATAAACCTCAAAAACATTGTCCATTAAATGAAAAATTTTTAATATATATTGTTCTTTCCTCTTTGTTTTTAACAACGTACCTGTTTGGTCAGGTGTTTGTTGAACACTTTCATTCTGCTTCTCCACTTCAGCTTCTTTCTCTGTTTTAGCGAAAAAGATTTAAATATTCTCTTGTATTATAACAAGACATTTCTAAGAATTGATTTGCTGAAACTTAAACTTATCATTCAAGAGAATTTCTATTTCACAAAATGTAAAAACTTTTACAGTTTTAATCTTTTGACCTGAACTTTCCAGGTAAGAAAATGAGTTTTTTTTCATGGGACACCATTTATTTTACCTAAACAGGTTTCCTCAGGTATAAAGAAAGTGATATAAAGTTATTGAGTGTGTCTTAATGTAAAAATGTGTTTAACCATATAAAAGACAAAGAAAAACATGTACTCTGCTTAAGGATGTGGATTTGTTTTACTTACCCTGAGCTGGTTCTTTATTCACCTTCACTTCATCATACACGGTCTCATTATCTTGTTTTACTGAAAAGTCAGAAGATCCATGAGTTTAATAGAATTTAGTGTGTAAAAGGTACATGCTATAGAGAATAAGACATATGTATAATGCAATTAATTATGAATTAATTAATTTTATCTCCCCTACCAACTGAGCCGCTGCTTCCAAGCATTTCAAACATTTTAATTAGTGTCATGCTGTCATTCTTTAAAAGTTCATGCTTCATATGTTTTATAACCACAATATAGACATAATCATGTTTTTTTTGTATGTTTACCAACCCAGTAAAATATAAGTGTAGAATGCAATTTAAAACTTAATAAATTATCTTTTATTCAAAAAATCATGAAAGTTTTGTGGCTCAAAACTAATTTTGTTTAGACCCTTTTCAAGTCACCACAATTATCACATATATGCAAAGACTGAGACTTAGTACATGTGTAGAATATATGTCATGTCTGCAGAAGATGAACTTACCTCTTGGTTGAAGCTGCATCTTACTTTTTATAACCACTGAAGCATAGCAAACGTCCTCCTCTGCCATGTCTGCAGCCTTACTGTTGACTCAGAGCCGACTTGTTGACTGAGAAGGTTTCTTTGTGTTAGAACTGCCTTTTATTGTTCTTGATTTACATACTTCTGCTTTGCGACTTGTATCAATATCTGAATATGAGAATTGTGTTAGTTCTGTGTTTTGTAACTACTTAACTGTATGGTTGTCAGGATACTCTTGTAAAACAAATCTTTGATCTCAAGGAGTTTTATTCTGGTTAAATAAAGGTTGAAAAACTGAACTTTGACCCCTGTCTTTTTTGTTGTTGTTTTTTTGTTTTGTTTTGTTTTGTTTTAGTGGCTCTTATAATTTTTTTGTGTGTGTCTTAGTTAAAAATAACTTAAGTATACAGTAATCTCCAGTGAATTAGAATATATACATATATCCCAATGAGTCTTGTTGGGATGAAAAGTATGTATACAAACTTTCCATTATACTCATGTTTATGTTTTTAAAAATCATCTGTTTATTGTTAATCAATAAAATGTGTTTAAATTGGTGATAGACCTACAGAAATAAATGGACTTTTCAATAATAATCTGATTTATTGAATGATTCTGTAGTTGATGAAAACATTATGATTTGTAACTTGAACATTTTGACGTCTCTTTAGTAAATAGAATACTAACTTTGTGAAAATGTCTCAGAAAGTTAAGTTATAACATTTGTTTTCAAATAATTATTTGCTAAATAAATAGTTGGTGTCCAGCTTAGTTTTATTAGGATTAAAGTTTCATTTACCATCATGAAATATTAGTGAAATGCTGCTTTGCTAAAATGGATGGTATCTGTAACCAGAGTAATGATACTAGCAAAATTATTTCTGTTTTTCATACTTTAAGACGACACTTTGATGAAGAGCTCTTATCGTATATGTATATATGATCTTACTATGGGCATAATTGATATTTGTATAAAGACTATATTTCATAAATAAATTTTATGTCTGAGCATTTCACTGATTATTTTACTTAGTGTGATCAAATTTTCTGTGAACAACTGATCTGTTTAGAATAATTTAAAACTTCCCCAAACACACTTCTGTGAAATCCAAAAGCGTGACTTTTCTGATTAATCCTATGCATTAAATTGTGGAAGTGATAGAATTAAGCAGACCATATTTTGATGAAGTTGTAAAAGAAAAAAAAAAAAACACAATTTAAATAACAAAAAACCAGACAAAAACAGTTAGGTGTTACAGACGCTGTAGACTGGAACCACTTCCATCTTGTTGAAGTGGTTCTGACATGGAATTTCCTCTCATGCTGTGGAAGTTGTGTAATTTTAACAGTTTGTGTTTCAGTTGTTTGTTCTGTCGGCTTAATTGTCTTTCTGTGAACAGCATCTGCTTTCCAATTCTTAGAACAATATATAAGTACAAAGCTATTCATTTTGTCTGGTCTATGAGAAATATTGTACAGATTTTTCATGATATGTTGTCAAGTCAGTTTTTTTTAATAAATACTGCCACTGAAACCCTGATGATTAAGTTTGTTGCTTCTTTTTACTTCTGCTAGAACTGGATAACGTTTGTGTTTTAAGCTTGATTATTATTATTATTGTACTTTTGTTGTTCTTTTCTTATTTATTTATTGATATTTACATGTTCAAAATTAAAAAAAAAAGTTGAATAAATAAATCATATTTACAGACTCGTACAGATGCACCATGTTTATGGGCTACATCATAATATGATATTTAAAAAAAAGACATCCAATCAATGGAACACTCAGTGCTATGTAGTCCAGATTAAATCCCTGAAACAGCATCCCATCCATGGAAGGGAAGACTGATGTTACAACTATCCATATTGGGTTTTCTTCTGTTCTCTGTTATCTGCTTTTAAATCAAATTAAAGGCAACGGAAAGTCCTACAACACACAGTGAGGGAAGTGAAGTGACAATTCACCTCCCAGTTAAATAACTGCCTGTCTTCAGATGTATCTTCTGTAATGTAATTAAATATGTAACTAAAAAGCTCTTTATGATTTTTTTATGTATCTGTTTAATATCAGAGATAGAAAGCTTTCTTTTTCAAAGTGTGTAATATTTTAGGGCTAATAATCATATCAACATCAGATCTAGGGTCAGTGCTGTGTACAGTCAAAGGAATGTAGAGACAATGACCAAATTCTAGCTCAAACATAAAAACTTAGAAGAGAGTATACATAATTTAATCTTCTCTTCCTGCTGTATTGATAGCATATTCTGCCTGTCATTGCATCTGATTTGATTTAAGTAGTAAACCTGCCCCTTCTTCTAGGTATTTTGCCATGCAGGTTTTAATAACAGCAGTTATCAAAAAAAAAAAAAAAAAAAAAAAAATCATCAGCAAACTTATTGAAAAAGTT